GGGATTAAGGGGTATTATGATTAGTACACATAATGGGAGGAGGGCACAGGGAAGGCAGTACAGCAAAGAGAAGACAACTAGTGATTCCACAGCATCTTACTACGCTGATGGACAGTGACTGTAGTGGGGCATGTGGGGGGTCTTGTAATAAGGGTGAATGTAATACCACAATGCTGCTCATGTGAAACCTTATATCAATGATACCTTAATTTAAAAAGCATATGGATGTGTAAAACTGGTAATGGTGAGTATATAATCAAAATCAGATTCTCAAATATTATGGTACATAATTAACTTACAACTCTAGTTTAAAAGTTAAAAAAGCAAATGTTTGAAAAATAATCATAACTACAATAATTTGTTATTGGATACCCTCTATAAAAAAGATGAGAGGGAAGAAGTAAAAGTATAAAGTTTTTGTATGATATCAAACTTATTATCAGCTTAAAAGAGGGTTAATAAATACATTATTTAAGCCTTACAGTAACCACAAAGGAAAACCTGTAGTAGGTGCACAAAAGGTGAGTGTAAAGGAGTCAAAGCCTCCCGCCAGAAGATGTCATCACATCGCAAAGGATGACAGCGAGACAGGAAGCAAGGAGCAAGGCATCTGCAGAACAGCTTGAAAACGATGAACAAAATTGTGACACTAAGTCCTTGTCTATAAATAATTACTCTAAGTGTAAGTGGATTAAATTCTCTAATCAAAAGTGACTGAATGGATAAAAAACAAAATCCAATGATATACTGCCTACAAGAGACTCATTTTAGCTCTAAGGATACACATAGACAGAATGAAGGGATGGAGATAGATATTTCAAGGAAATTGTAACCTAAAGAAAGGGGTAGCTATAGTAATATTAGACAAAATAGATTTTTAAACTGAAAATGCTCAAAGGAGGTAAAGAAGGTCATTATATAATGATAGAAAGGTCATCTACCAAGAAAATGAATAGTGGTAAATAGTTATACTTTGAGCACCAACACTTGGAGCACCTAAATAAGTATTTAGGACAAATACTAACAGAACTAAAAAGAAAAATTAACAGTACAGTAATAATTAGGTACTTTAATACTCTACTCACAACAATAGATAGATCAGAAAGGAAACAGCAGATTTAACTCAAAAGACCAAACACACAAAGGCCAAAAGGACTTAACAGATATATATAGAACATTCTATTGAACAGTAACAGGACATATTTTTCTCAAGTACATATGGAACATTTTCTACGGTGGATAATAGAGTAGGCCACAAAACAAATTTCAAACTCAAGAACATACAAATTATATCAGCTAGCTTTTCCGACTACCATGGTATGTAACTAGAAAACAGTAACAGGAGGAAAGCTTAGCAATCCACAGATACATGGAAATTAAACAACACAGTCCTGAACTATGGATAAATGAAGAAATTTTAAATAAATTTTTGAAATAAATGGATGTGGAAACGCAAAATACCAAACCTAATCAGATGCAGTAAGAGTAGTTCTAAGACAGGGTTTTACAGTGATAAATGCATACATCAGGGAACAACAATGATCTCAAATGAACAACCTAACTTTACACATCAAGGAACTAGAAAAAGAAGTGCAGAGTTAGTAGAAGGAAGGAAATAGTAAAGATTAGAGCAGAAATAAGTGAAACAGAGAAAGGAAAACAATAGAAAAGATTAACAAAACCTTTAGCTAGACTAAGCAAGAAAAAAGAGAGGCCCAAATGAATAAACTTACAAATAAAAGAGGAGACATTGTATATGACAGCACAGAAATACAAAGGGTCAGAAGAAATCGTTCTGAACACTTACATGCCGACAGATTTCATGACCTAGAAGATGTGGATAAATTCCTAGAAACATGTAACTACTGACCATATATCATGAAGAAATAGAAAATCTGAACAGACCAAAAGTGAGTAAGGACATTGAATCAGTAATCAAAAACCTCACAGTGAAGAAAAGCTCAAGACCAAATGGCTTTGCTGGTTAGTTCTACCAAACATTTAAAGAATTACAAACTTTTCCAAAAATATTGAAGAGGAAACACTGCTAGACCCATTTTATAAGGCCAGCATTACCCTGATAACAAAATCAAAAAAGGCCACAACAAGAAAACACTATTCCTGATGAATATAATTTTAGAGTTTTCAACAGAATACTAGCAAACCAAATTCACAGCACATTAAAATGCTCCGACACCACCATCAAGTGGGATTTATCCCTGGCGTGTTGATTGTTTGACATATGCAAAATTGAGAAATGTGACACATCACATTCATAGAATGAAAAGTAAAAATCATATAATCATCTCTAGACTCATTCAACATCCATTCCTGGTAAAAACTCTTAGCAATTTTGGTATGGAACGAACATACCTCAACATAATAAAGACCATGTATAACAAGCCCACAACGAACATCATACTCAGTGGTGAAAGTTGGAGGCTTTTCCTCTAAGATGAGGAATGAGACAGGGCACCCACTCTCTTCACTTTTGTCTAAATTAGTAAAGGAAGTCCTATTTCTGCCAAAGCAGTTAGACAAGAAAAATTAGGCATCCAAATCAGAGAGGAAGAAGTAAATTCTTTTGGCAGGTGACATCTTATATATCAAAAATCATAAAGGTTCCACCAGAAAAAACCTTAGAAGTAATAAACTAGGGAACTACACTATGGGGGAAATAGTGAGAATGTTTGATATCTTGATTGGGCAGTGGTTACATGACTGTATACACATGTTAAAATTCAAGCTGTACACTAAGATTTGTACATTTTAGTGTATGTAACTCTATAAAAAAATTTTAAGTAAAAATAAAGGAAAAGTTAAGATTTTTTAATAAATGAATTTAATCAAGTTGTGGGATACAAATCAACATACAAAAATCAGTTGCTAACAATGAACTATCTGAAAAGGAAATAAAAAATTCCCATTTATAATTCCATCAAATAGAATAAAATATTTAGGGATAAATAAAACCAAAAGTGTGAAAGATCTGTACACTGAAAATTCAGACATTGATGAAAGAAATTAAGACACAAGTAAGTGGAAAGGTATCCCATGTTCATGGATTGAGCATATTACCCAAGCCATCTTGATAGATTCAGGGCAATCCCTATCAAAATTCCAGTGGCATTTTTTTAAACAGAAATAGAAAAAACAATTCTAAAATTTGCATGGAACTACAAAAGACAACAAACAGCTAAAGCAATTCTGATACAAAGCAGGATGCATCACATCTCCTGATCTCAAATCATATGACAAAGCTGTAATAATTAAGACAGTACGGTACTGGCATAAAACAGACATATAGACCAATGAAACAGCATTAACAGCCCAGAAATAAACCCATGCATATATATATATATATGGTCCACAAATGTTTGATAAAGAAGCCAATGATACTCAATAGAGACAAGATAGTCTCTTCAATAAATAGAATTGCGAAGACTGGATATTCACATGCAAAAGAAAGAAATTGGCTCCTGCTTTTACACCACGCACAAAAATTAAAGACTGCAGTGTAAGACTTGAAACCATAAAACTCCTAGAAGAAGAAAATGGGACAAGGTCCTTTATGTTGCTCTTGGCAATATTTTTTGGTCAGAACATCACAAACACAGGCAAGCAACAGAGGCGAAACTAAACAAGTGACACTACATCAGACTGAAAAGTTTCTGCCCAGCAAAAATAAAACAACAAGATGAAAAGGCACCGTATGGAATGGGAAAAAATATGTGCAAACCATATATCTGATAGGAGATTAATTTTCCAAATATGCAAGGTACTCCTACAACCAAAAGCAAATAATAACCCAATTTTAAAATGCACAAAGGACATGAATAGACTCTTCTTCAAAGGACATGAAATAGCAAAAGAAAAGATGTTCAATGTCACTAATCATCAGGGAAATTCCAGTCAAACCCACAGTGAAGTATCACCTCATACCTGTTAGAATGGCTATTATCAAAAAGGCAAAGGATAACAATATTGTCAAGGATGTGAAAAAGTGAACCTTTGTATAGTATTGGTGGGAATGTACATTCATCCAGCCACTGTGGATCACAGTATGGAAGTGCCTCAAAAAGTTAAAAAATAGAACTATTTTTAGTTCCACTCCATCAACTGCACTTCTTTATATATGTCCAAAGGAAATGAAATCACCACCTCAAAGAGATAATCTGCACATCCTTCATTTCAGCTTTATTCACAGTCGCCAAGACATGGAAATAATGTTAAGTGTCTAACAGCAGAAGAAAAAAATATAGTTTATACACAAACACACACACACACAGCCATACAACAGAAGGAAATACTGCCTTTTGTGACGACATGAATAGACTTGAGGACATTATCTACAGTGTCTTAATTTATTATTTTCCGTGATTGCTGCTTTGTGGGCTAGTAAAAGAGCTACTATTGGCCGAGCTTAATAAATAGCTCTGGAAATCTTTAATGAACCAAAAAGATGAAAGCAGCTTCTTAAATGTTGTCAACTCTCAGGAATGGTATTTTTCATAATAGAAATCAATTAGATTCTCACTGTTTGTTAGACACTTAGTGGGTTTTGAAAAATAGAGAACCTACAGTTGGCATTGGAAGTTTAAGTCATAACAGTAGTGCCTGGGTAACATCGCCTTATCTTCTGAATCCCTATATTCTGGTTAATTAGGCTCCCTGGTTCTTTAAGAAATACTGCTTTTCAAGAGTGCTGAGGTTGTTGTAAATCATTTTAACTATTGTCAGACTCTTTAGACCAGTAATAATGATCAGGTAATCATGCACATTCATCTTTCTTGAAAAATAGCATCAGAATAACTGAGAGAAGAGAATCACTTCAGATATAGCTGATTATTCAGGACTAAATCTTGAAATGCTTTCCTCAAACCTGTGTCATGTTTACTTGCTTAAGGAATTTGAGCCTTTGTTTGGTAAGACTTGTCTTCGAAGGTGAAGGTGTTGCCAGTCTGTGCAGATTGATGACATACGTTTCTCTCCACATTTAGCTACATGGTGAACATAGGTCTGATCGACAAGCTCTGTGGCTGCTTCCTCTCGGTGCAGGGCCCAGTGGACGACAATCCCAAGATGCCCACCTTTCTGCAGCACGCCGCAGGACTGTTACATGGGATGTGTGCCCTGTGCTTTGCTGTCACGGGAAGGTAAGGCCTCCAGTTGAGTCAATGCGTGCTCAGATTTTAAAGCATCCCTGAGTTTTGCCTATCTTGGAGTCATTTCATAGGGTGGAGGTGGTCATCTCGGCCTCTTTCCTCTTTGAACTACCTCTGTTCTTCTTGGCTTTCCGTATGGGGACTAGTCTTGTAGTTCTCATTTGTTCTGGCTACATGCCCCTGTCAGAGTCTATTTTTCTTCTTGGTGTCATAAACTTAATTATCATTACTGAAAGATACCTTACCGTATCTCTCACTGAGATCCAGAGAAATCAAGTGATTCTCTTGAATCAGCGAGACCGTGACAAAGCCTAGACCAGGTCAAAGCTAAGCCCTCAGCAAACAGCAGAGCCTCACAGTGCCCATGACCATATACACATGCTTTCAGTTACAGACTCCTAGGTTTGCTTATTTTCCCTTTTGTCCCTTCTTCCAATGTATCTCCACGAATAAGAAAAGGGAGCCACTCAAAAACAGCAGCTCCCTGAAGTCACACATGAACGCTGGGCATGATTATAGCCAGTGTGCCAAGGACTACTGCTGGCCTGGTGGCTGGCTCTGTAGATCCTCCATCCTACAGGCTGTTCTCAAAATCAGTACTTCTCTGGGAGGGGCAGAATAACCGTGCCCCCCCACACACACACATGTTCTTTTCTCTCCTCTCCAACCAAGTAAGAATCATTTGCAATACTGACTGTTTCTGTTAGGAATATGGCATATAAAGCATATTAAGGATGTTTGGTTACATCCTTACAATTTTTTTCTTACAATTAAATTCTAAACAGCACTACATACAAATTATGATTTGTGAAAAAGAAAACTGATTATTTAAAACTTCTAAAGTCCATCTGCTTAAATATTATCCGTGCATGTTCAGTGCACACAGAATGCCAGTGACTATGTACAGAATATTTTAAAAGAGAATTTGTTTTCTAAAATGAACCTCCTCAACATTTTTTAGTCTGCGTGTATAAGACCCTTAAACCCACCTATTCTTCCTTACTCTTACCAGTCCTTACATTTCTAAAATTAAGACTGAGTGTCAGAGAAATCAGGCACGGCCTGTATTCAGTGTTTCAGTTAGTCTGTTCCCTCCTAGAAATGCAGACAGAGCCTACCTTCCAGGTGTTTGATGAGAACTCAGGAAGCGGCTATTCGTGTATCTGTGACCTAAGTAAGATTGGGTGGTACCATGCTACATAAAGACTGGTAGCAGTAGCAGGGCTCCATCCAGGACACTGGCACCTGCCAGTCTGGAGGCTGCCATGCTGCCTCACTAGCTGCTGTGCAGTAGGCCAGCCACTCCCTGGCAGGTACCCACTCACCCAGAAGACCCCTTCTGACCCTGGGTCTTGTGTACACAGCAGTATAAACCTGCCAGCATCTCAGATCTTTGTCTCCTGTACTCTTTTGTTGAATCCAGATGAGTATCACACATATAATCATTACCATATGTGGCTGTTGTACAGTTTGTGGGCTTCAGCTTTCACTTACAACAGATTTAGTCACTTGAAATCTGTGAAACTTAAAAGAGCTTAACTGTTATTCACAACCACTCATTTTTGTAAGGAAAGCAATTGAGCCAAACTAACTTGAATAAGGGCTCAAGATTCCTACCTTGATACTCCCTCCAACACTCTTGACTTTTTATTATTCAAAATGTGGGAGCAGGTATTTGATTTCTTTGAAAATTTTCTCAATTACCTATATAGGAAACAGGATACTCTTCTCTGTAACACACACAGTTATGTCCTTGTCCAATAGACTTGATGAGTATCACCCTGTGCCAGACATTAAGCTAAGTACTAAAGATAGTGCCTTCAGGGAGCGCAGAGTCCGGTGTCAGGTCAGATTTGTAAACTAATAACTACAACATAGTAGCTACAGCAGAAGAGAATATGCACAGAGAAGAAGAAAAGCAGTCCCAGGGAAGGAAGGAAAGGCTTCAGTGGGCTGAATCTTAAAGGATCTAGGAAAACAAGTGGAGACTCCACAGCACCTTACGTCGCTGATGGACGGTGACTGTGATGGGGCATGTGGGGGGACTTGATAATGGCGGGAATCTAGTAACCACAGTATTGCTCATGTAAGTGTATATTAATGATACCAAAATAAATTTTAAATTCATTTAAAAAAAAAGAAAGAAAACAAGTGGAGGGAAGAATTCAGTTGAGAAAAAGGGCGTATATGTGCAATGTATGGTATAGAAGATGTTTTTGGTGACTTTGTCCCACCTGACGTCCCCTGCCGGTGGCTTTCTATATTTCTCTGCCTGAGGATATTCTCTGTACAAGTAGCTGTTTGCTAGAAGTACAGGGAAGTTAACACCCCCAGGAGCCAATCCCACAACAATAAATTGGTAGATAATATTCCAGTTCCACCAAACCTCAGTGGGACAATCCTGAGTTGTATTATGTACATTCTCAGTGGTAATCTGTTCATTAACACATCTCGATTGTCTTTTTCTGTTTACTCTTTCCCTTTTCTACTTTCTCACAGATAATCTATTTGCACCCATATCCTTATTTCAGGGTCTACTTTGGGGGCAAACCAAACCAAGAGAGATGCATATGCAATACGTTGTCTCATGTACAATTTGTTGTAGCTGTACATCAGAGAGACTATGAAGAGTGGCAGAAGATGAGGTGTAAAATGGGCTCCATAAATGTTAGTTTTTGGGAGGCAGAAGGGAGACAAGAGCTTGGTGTGCTACACTAGAACTATGGAGAGCCACTGAAGTTGTTTGAGAGGGGGTAACAGCGTCTAATTTCTGTTATAGAATGATCATTCTGAAAAGCATAGAAATGTAATGGCACAAGCCTAGAGGCAGAAACAGTAGCAAAGAGGCGGTAGCATGATCCAAGTGAGTGATGTCGAAGACCTGAGGCAACAAAGAAACTAGAGAGGAACAAATATACTAAGAGGAGACAGTAAAACCGCAGTGAGATATCACACCAGTTATAATGGCCACTATCCAAAAGAGAAGAAATAACAAATGTTGTGGAGGACATGCAGAGCAAGGACCCTTGTGCACTGCTTGCGGGCATGTGAATTGGTGCAGTTGCTGTGGAAAGCAGTATGGAGGTTCCTCAGAAAACTAAAAGTGAAAATGCCATTTGATCCAGGAATCCCACTCCTAGGAATTTACCCGAAGAAAACAAGATCCCAGATTCAAAAAGACAGACGCACCCCTATGTTTATCGCAGCTCTATTTACAATAGCCAAGATATGGAAGCAACCTAAGTGTCCATCAATAGATGAATGGATAAGGAAGATGTGGTACATATACACAGTGGAGTATTATTCAGCCATAAAAAGAAAAGAAACCCTGCCATTTGTAACAACAGGGATGGATCTAGAGGGTATTAATGCTTAGTAAGATAAGTCAGGTGGAGAAAGACAAATACCATATGATTTCGCTTATTTGTAGAGTATAAGAACAAAGCAAAACAGATGGAACCAAACAGCAGCAGAATCATAGACACTGAGAAGTGGCCGGTGGTGACCAAGGCAGAGGAGTTGGGTCAGGCTGTGGGGAGTGGGGGGATAAAAGGGCACAATAATTTGCAATCACAAAAAAGTTGGTCACAGGGACGGTAGGACAGCATGGAGAATATAGTCAATGATTCTGTAACATCTTTCTACGTTAATAGATAGTAACCACACTAGAGGGTGAGGATTTAAGAATGTGGGTAACTGTTGAACCACTGTGTTGTACATTTGACCAATATAAGATTGTATATCAATGATACTTCAATTTAAAAAAAAGGAGGAAACAGAATAAACTAAGAAAAATGGCATAGAGCTTAAAGACATGGAAGGTAAAAGGAAGAACCTAGAATGAATCTTATATTTCTGACTTGAAATTTTTGAGTAGTAGATGGTGTAGTCTCCCAATTAGCTTATATAAGCAGTTTTCCATAGAGGAAGAGAAGTTTAGTCCTAGACATGCCCAAGGATTGATTATCCAAGTAGACCAAAGTCTATATATATATATATATATTTAAATATATAACCAAGGTTTATATATGTGTGTGTGTGTGTAATTGTTTCTATGTACACATGTAACTGGAATTTAAATGCATCAATGATTAACTTTTGCTGGTTTTTAAGAATTCTTAATCCATTTTTCCCAATGTAATTTCCTTCTCCAACTTCAAATACTCAGCAAATTTCTATTAGCAGGCCTTGCTAGAAAAGCAGACTATTCTAAAAAAAGGGGTCCAGGTGGTTTCCTGGCTTAATTTACCCAGGAATGTCTTAGCAGTATCGGTATCAGCTGCTTCTCTGAAAGAGATAAGAATGACCCCTGGTGGCAGCTCTTCCTCTCATCCTTCCGTCTCCCAGCATTTCCTGAACACCACCGAACCACAAGAATACAGGGAGTTTTTTCTACCTTTTCAGATTCGTTTACCTCTAATATTTACAGACCATTTCATACTACATCCCGTTTCTTCAAGGCAGTTATATTTCTAAACCAAAATTACAGTGACCTGTTAAAAGCACTTTTTTGCATGTATTAATTATAGTCTCTGTGCACCTGGCAGCCACGTCTGGCAAGGTAGTGTGGTGGTGGTTGTATTAGAGCCATTTCACATAACGCCTGTTGTGGCTCCCAGGAGAAAGCGGCCGGCAGAACCACAGCGGAGGAAGGCCTGTCCTCAGAGCCCTTTTGTGACTAGCAGGAATAAAAGACAAAGAGGAGCCAGAGATGCCTTCAAAAATTGCTTCTTGTGAGCCGGCGGACCCTGAGATAATTAAGTGCACTAACTGATTCGCACAGGGCTTTGGGTGAACGCTGTAGCTGCCGGTGGCCCGGCCTTTGTGATGGTGATTCCAGCGGGCCTGCCTCTGCCCTGTCGCCTATTGTGCCTTAATCTTCTAATTTTTACCTGGGTTTTCTGAAAGACAATTTGGGCGTCAGAATTTATGCTGGTTAATCTTTGTGTCAACATGGGGAAGAAAAGCACTAACAGATTGTTTTTGTACCA